TCTGTCTGTCTGTCTCTCTCTCTCTCTCTCTCTCTGTGTGTGTGTGTGTGCGTGTGTGTGACACTCTGTTCATTCCCTTCCTCTGCTCCTTCCTTCCATTAAGTAGATCCATTTGCTATCTTTAAAATACTTGGAGCAAGATTACATTGAGAGAAAAGGAGTCAGTGGGCCTCCAAAGGAATGGAAGAGCCCTGGAAAGGTGCCGACTGTGGCTTAGTCCCCACTGCCCAGTCTCAGCCCCTCCTCTCCAGTGGTCCCTCCCTCTCACATTGTCTCCATCCTCTCCTCAAATGCCCCTACCAGGATGTGGTTGCTGTTGGTCCCTATGGCTGGCTGCTCAGGTTGGAGGAAGACCCTTGATCTTGCTCCTAAACTAAGGACTTGGACTTTGGGTGTTTCTGCTTTTTTGTGGCGTTCCTCTTCGGCCCATTCAGTGGCATGGAGATCAAGTCCACCCTCTCTTCCTTTGTCTTGTGAGGACCTTCTGAAGATCCTCACTAGTGTGAGAGCAGGCTTGGTTCTCCATCCCACGTTCTTTCTGCAGGAGTAGTGTCGGAAGTTACCATCAAGTCCCATTCCACGTCGTCATGGGATGTTAACTGCTAGTTTAGGCTCAAGGGACCTTTATACTCCCAAGAAGATCTGAGATTCTCTGAGGTTCTCTCATGTCTCTCAGACCCTGAGCCCAGTCAGCCTTTTGTGCAGCCCTTGGCATGCTATAGATGCCCCATCGATGTTGACGGACTTGGTTAAACCCTGAACCCAGCTTTGTTTCTTCACCTTAATTCACCGCAGCTCTAGTCTGAAGGGCTTTCTCTCTCCCAGGAGGTCTCTTTGTCCAGGGTGTGTGACTGTGCAGGGGCATGACTTTCCAAGTAACTTTCCTTGTGTTCTCCAACAAAACCCAAAGCCCCAAAGAAGAAGCACATTTTCCCTTTATCAGTTGCAGTTTTTGGCATCTGGGGTCATAACTAACAGACGGTACAGTAGCATCTGCCTAAAACGTGTCTTGGCCAGGCGAGGAACCTCATGTCCCCACAAACTACAGGCAATTCCAATATTGCTAACAAAGACAGAAACAAAATCCAAACCATGGAAAACCCATCCCATCTTGTCCTGGAAATTTCAAAAAGCCTAAGATAGTGAGTGAGGAGGTGTTGCATGCGTTGCCATGTGTGTAGACATTTGCACGTGTGGGCTTCCCTGCACACTGCATGTACTTAAAATACATACATACTACCTTCAAGGCAGGTGGGGCTTGGACGACTCAGGTTTCACCAGTGACAGAAGCAATAGGGTGTGTATGTGTGTGTGTCTATATAACCATGTGGAGACAGAGAAAGTACTGTTACATGATCACAGCTGAAGGCTACCAATGGCTGAAAATTCCAGTGAGAGATAGTGACACAGGCTTGAGATTAAAGGGAGCCCAGAATCAAAAATTCCATCTTTGTTAGGGAACCTCACTCTTGACTCTTAAGGCTGCCAACTGGCTAGATGAAGCCTATCTAGGTTGTGGAAGGCAATCTGATTTGCTACGAGGGTACTATATAAGTAGTAATGATATCTGAGAAAGACCCTCACAGCGGCTTCTAGATCGGTGGTTCACAAAACAAAATTAACCCTCTTGGGACATTGGATATAATATGCCTCATGGAGGTAGGTTCCTTCTGAGGTGGGGAGCTGACTGAAAACCAGTTCTGCAAATAGCAACGGAGCAGTCAGGATGCCCAGCAAAGAGACCAATGTGTGCTTCCCCACCTCTGCACCAGAGGACTGCCATCTGTTAATCCCTTAGGGATATCTGAGAGAGGCACTGTGATGCTGCGATGGCTACCATGTTTCCCAAACAAAAATCTGAGCCACAAGCAGGAATGTATTTATGGAAAGAGCAGGGCAAGGCATTGGGAATCGTGACTGGTGTGGTGGAAACTGGTAACCCTGATCTCCTGCTTGCTTGCTCACAGGGCAGTCTCCAGCAGCCCAGAGCTCTGCCCCTGAATTCTGGTCATGCTTCTCTGGTAGGAGGTGTCATGGGCTCTCTGACTCCTTTCTGAAGGGTGCAGATCCTGGTCCAGCTGTGGAGCAGTGACCCAGGGGGTCTCCCTGAGTTTCCCCAACTGACATCTCCTAAGAACGTCCAGCCTGCTGCTCAGCCTTTGCCAAAGCATGCCACGTTGACTTAATCCTGCAGGAATGACATTGGTTTTATGCTCATTCCTTCCCAAAAGAAGAAAAGAGTAGACTGATAGTAATAATTAACACAACATTTGAACTTGTATTTTAATGTCTTCAACCACAGAAAAGCATAAGCCCTGCTTTCACCATCTGTGTTCTTCAAGAAACACAGTTTCTTGTTTTAGGGGGTTTCTAACAAAGACTGTCCCAATGGAACCTGTGGGTCAGGGCCACAGTTTCCTGCAGACTAGGGCCAGCTGTGCACCCCCATGGGATTTGGGGATCCCAATGAAAATCCCCCTGTTCTGTGGTGGGATCAGTCCTGGGGATGTATTTACTTGAGACAGAAAGGACAGTCTTTGTGGCCGTCCTGGTGTTGAGAACATGTAATGGATGACTGACAGGTCTTGATAACAATGACCAATGTGGATTGGTCACACATCACTTTGTGAGAGTTGCGTGACTCTGGTGTGTGTCAGCTGAGTCGCCTGGAGTTATAGAGACACTCAGCTCAGTTGTGTGGCTTCTGGATCTGCCCTTTCTGTGCTTGACTAACCCCTTCGTTCGTGTGTGTGTGTGTGTGTGTGTGTGTGTGTGTGTGTTCATATGTGTGTGGCTACATTGTCCTAGAGGTGGAGGTCAGAGGTTAACATCATGTGTTGTTCTCAGTCGTTCTCCACATTAGTTTTTGAGACAGGGTCCTGGA